AATTATTTCACTGGTTAGTGATTTAAAAATAAGTTTTAGGGTAAAACGATATCATTTTAGTCCCAAAAAACCTAAAAAAAATAAAAAAACAGAATCGTCACGTATCGTATGTATCAGACATATTGTATCGTATCGTATTGTGTATCGTACGATACGGAGATACGATACGTATTGTTTTTTAGTTGTATCGTGACGTATCGTACGATACGTATCGCGTATTGTATGATACTAATAACTATGATCCTGATCCTGATCCTGATTCGTAAGGTTAGATGATATTGCAATAGTGAAACACCATTATTGGAGCAGGCAAGGCATAATGTATTTGTTATAGTCTTATGTATGAAATCAGTCTTGTTAGTATGATCTGTTCTGCTGTTCTGACTTCTGATTGTCTCGGGGATTTAGGGATTGTTTTGTGCATACCATAATACTACATTTTCCCCAAAATCTCTTGTATTAGATAGTTTCTTGAAGCTTTTCATTGCTACTTTTTGGGGTTTATTTTAGTGAACAGCAGTTTGGATGATAAGAAGAAGTACATTAAGAAGGAGGGAAAAAGAGGAGAGATATTGCAGAGATAAGGTTTGCCAAATAATGTTTATTGCTCTTACATGGCGGGGATAGTTGTTAAGTACATAATCATTGTATGCATTCTTGTCCACATCACTGTATCAAAATATTCATTGTGTAATTTATAAAAATTTGAAGCTATGGTTTCTTTCTGTGGAGGTTCTAGTTCATAACCTGCATTTGAACAGTTTGTACTTGAAGTTTGATAACTGCAAATATGATCAATGGTATGTGTTTAATGAGATTGTGTTGCTTATTGCAGTCTAACAAAGCAAAGCGTAGACTCAGACAACCTGGTATTGTTCATTTGGCTTATGCAAAAGTGATGAAGAAGCTTAACTTCTGCGGTTGAATTACTGAGAATTTTCTACCAGAGTTTTCATAGTCATTCCCAGCTTGAGCGAGACTCTTCACTCCAGGCTATGTATGTTGTTCCCTTTCCAATTTCCCAAACGGAGAAAAGGGTGAAATTTTTATGTAGCCCACAGTTGTAGCCATTGCTTCATCTGGTTGAGTATGGCTTACTCCAAATGGTCCATGCTTTCCAAAACAAATTGATATTGAGGCACTGTGGTGGTTGATAATTGGCAAATAATTTCATTTAACAGTTGTGTTTTTTTTTTTTTGGCTTCTCTTAATTTTTTTTTCATGGGCAGCAGTCTTCTAGCTTCCTGAACAAGGACATAAAGATTGGTTCAAACACTATTCCTGATGGGTGATCTATTTATCCATAGTTGGTTTTACTGCAATTGGCTTGAAATTTACCAGAAATTGAGGAAAAATGTAGTCGATGGCATTCGAATCTTGTCTTAGTTGGCCGGTTAACTTGACTAGTTGTTGAGAAGTCAACAGTTGGCTTAATAACTATCGTCCCACGATTGCTCCTGGTTTGACACTGGCCACCCTTTCCCCTCTACAAACTATTAAAAAAAAAAAAAAATAGACTAGAGACTACTCACCCTTTAAGCTTTTTTGTTTTTGATTAAGTACAATCAAACCATGGCCTTAAGAAGTGCAAAATATGCAGATTCCTTCTTTGAAAACATTAGACAGGCTACCCACAAAAATGGAAGGTTTGGCATGGACACAAGTTGATTCACAACATAGGTACAACACCAGAGGGGGCATAGATAACCTTTCCTCTAGCTAACACTGATGAAACTTCAATCAGGTTAAAAATTCATGCAATTGTTATTTTTGTTACTAATTAGTATACTTATTTCTGACAACTCCCCCTCTAAACAAAGACTCATAATTCGGGTTATAATCGAAGAATTCCCAATCGAGTTTTGTTGGCGAGTAACGATAAGTTCTATTGAGATCAAACTTCCAGTCACACTTGTTAATTGTGTCGTTACCGCAGGCATAATCATATCTGTAAGCCACGAACACACCCATATTGGTTGAGCAGTTGTACATTATTGTCGAGGGAAAAAGTCCTTCCGCTCGGAAAGTGAAACTAAACTGCTCATTAGGTCTCAAATGTTGCAATTTAAACTCATCGTCGAAGTTAAAACATCTGACACTTAGATAATTTGTGTGATTATTTCTTACGGTAATTGTCTTTATCGGATGTTTTGAGAAGTTGAAGATGGAAGCCTCGGGGGTGGGGATGAAGAAGAGCATTGCAGCTAGTAGAAAAGAGATATGCATGGTGGTGGTGGCGGCGGTGGTGGTCATGTTTGTTGTATACCTTTGTTCTTTCACTTCCACCTGAAACATCAAAAAGTGAGCCAGAAGTAAAATATACAAGTGTATGGGCCTTTTTGTATAGTTGCTGTTTATAAATACAAGTACGGGATTGGTGGCACTACCAACAAGAATTGGGTTGGGATTATAGGCAAAATCAATTAATCGGATTTTGATTCGAATTCGATTTTAATTTAAATTTTATTAGTATCTTTGACTAATTATTAGAAGCTTAGTTTGTGAAATCTGTTCTCAATTATTCGTTTCGGATTAAAATCTTGAATCGAACGTTCAATTTTTGACAAATTCTTATTTGTATTGTAAAAACAAAATTCGAGAGTTATTCGGGACGAAAATTTTAAATGGCGTACCGATTAGATGTTTTGTAACTAACTTGGGTTGTTAACAAATTTAAAAAGAAAAAGGAACCCAATCCTTAAAAATCAGTGCCTTTTAATAACAAAAACATGAAAAATTCTCTAACTCTTTTCCCAAAATGTTCAAATAATGCAATCACATATGCAAGAACACATTGGATTCTAATCAAAGGGACAATGAGAGAAAGAACAGTGAAGAATGAACATTGGTATGCAAATAAATATCAGTTTCTCCTCATAACGTAGTAAAGGATGGCACCCAATAAATCCCCAGTCAACACTTTCTACAAATACCCGACCGACACGTGAGATCCAAATTTTGTTTTGATGTATTATTTTGGTTATAGAGAAAACTAAAATATTTTAATTTTTTTTTAGAAATTGAATGGAAACAAATAAAAAATTTGATAATTTATTTCACAAAATTCCAAAATATTGATTAAAATATGTTAAAATATGTTGAAACGCATCAAAATCATCCGAAATATTAGTGAAACATGCCGAAACACTTTAAAACATTCTAAAATATTTTAAAGTACTAAAATTTTATTTCAACCATTAATTTGTTTTGATTTTATTAAAAATAAAAATGTTCGGACATTATAAAACGAAATTTTGATTCTTACGGGCTACCATGGGAAGGATCTGATATACCTGTTCGATTCTTCAGAAGCAACCACCCGAAATGGCTTCCTGTGGAATTCACTCAAGGCCTCCTGAACTGAAAAGGGTTTTATTCTCAGCTCAACAATGAATAAGACTTGCAGCGAAACCACGTTGACAGAGAGAAAAAGAGAGATTATTAAGCACAGCAGATGAGAAAAATGGCTTCTTTCTATAAAACCCATTTCTACATGTATTGGGTATTTATAGCTGTCGGGAATCATGGCTGCCAAGCTCACTGTATTCATCCAAGAAAACTAAAAACAGGTAATACACTTCTGTCATCTTGTTGCTTTGCTAAGTTTGACAAACGATATTTTTCAAGTAACCCCAAATTTGCTATATTTAGATTTTTGGCTAGACTCCTGTTGGAATTTCATTGGCAATAGGTGTAATATAGGTTGGTCTCCAACTGTAAACCCCTTAAGGTTGGCATGCATCCTTTGTTTGATGCAAAGGTCTCCTAGTGAATGAAGCACAGCTCCGGCGAATATGGACATGTTTGTGAAGGAAGAGAGGAAAACTCCGGCGAGACTTGTGGCGGCATGTGGGTATCGAAAAATTGAAATCACATGGCTTCTTGGGATAGAATTTACCGGAGAAATGGTACTTCCACCGGGTCAATTAGCACTGAGAACATGGACTACACCGGAAAACTACATGAGGCCACTGAAAATTGAGACAACCCAGAGGCTAGTGAAACTATCCTTCTTTCTGAGCAAGTGGTAGGTGAAGGCAGCGAAAATGGTGGAGCCTAGGAAACCGGAGGCGGTTGCGTAAAGCCAGAGCCACNGGATGGCACCCAATAAATCCCCAGTCAACACTTTCTACAAATACCCGACCGACACGTGAGATCCAAATTTTGTTTTGATGTATTATTTTGGTTATAGAGAAAACTAAAATATTTTAATTTTTTTTTAGAAATTGAATGGAAACAAATAAAAAATTTGATAATTTATTTCACAAAATTCCAAAATATTGATTAAAATATGTTAAAATATGTTGAAACGCATCAAAATCATCCGAAATATTAGTGAAACATGCCGAAACACTTTAAAACATTCTAAAATATTTTAAAGTACTAAAATTTTATTTCAACCATTAATTTGTTTTGATTTTATTAAAAATAAAAATGTTCGGACATTATAAAACGAAATTTTGATTCTTACGGGCTACCATGGGAAGGATCTGATATACCTGTTCGATTCTTCAGAAGCAACCACCCGAAATGGCTTCCTGTGGAATTCACTCAAGGCCTCCTGAACTGAAAAGGGTTTTATTCTCAGCTCAACAATGAATAAGACTTGCAGCGAAACCACGTTGACAGAGAGAAAAAGAGAGATTATTAAGCACAGCAGATGAGAAAAATGGCTTCTTTCTATAAAACCCATTTCTACATGTATTGGGTATTTATAGCTGTCGGGAATCATGGCTGCCAAGCTCACTGTATTCATCCAAGAAAACTAAAAACAGGTAATACACTTCTGTCATCTTGTTGCTTTGCTAAGTTTGACAAACGATATTTTTCAAGTAACCCCAAATTTGCTATATTTAGATTTTTGGCTAGACTCCTGTTGGAATTTCATTGGCAATAGGTGTAATATAGGTTGGTCTCCAACTGTAAACCCCTTAAGGTTGGCATGCATCCTTTGTTTGATGCAAAGGTCTCCTAGTGAATGAAGCACAGCTCCGGCGAATATGGACATGTTTGTGAAGGAAGAGAGGAAAACTCCGGCGAGACTTGTGGCGGCATGTGGGTATCGAAAAATTGAAATCACATGGCTTCTTGGGATAGAATTTACCGGAGAAATGGTACTTCCACCGGGTCAATTAGCACTGAGAACATGGACTACACCGGAAAACTACATGAGGCCACTGAAAATTGAGACAACCCAGAGGCTAGTGAAACTATCCTTCTTTCTGAGCAAGTGGTAGGTGAAGGCAGCGAAAATGGTGGAGCCTAGGAAACCGGAGGCGGTTGCGTAAAGCCAGAGCCACCCGGCCACGGCCACGGCCACCGCCCTTCTATCGGGAAATTGGCTCTTACGGATGGTGGAGCCGATGAAGCCGCGAACCATGAGGCCGAGATGGCTGGCATGGGAGGCTGTTCCGATGGTGTTGGCTGCGACTATGGTGGCAATGTACGGCGTGAAGATCCATCTGGTTCTGAAGAATCCGGCCGGCAAGCAGAAGGGTGCTCCGATGGCGGTAGCGGCTGCGGCGATGAGTTGTTGTCCGTGGCCATAGTCAAGGTGGAGGGAGATGGTGCCAAGTGTTGGTGCTGCAACAATTAGTCCTGCCACCCAAGAAATTGAAGTCCACTCTAATGGAGAGAAGTTCTAATTGTTGAGCTTTATTGACCGTTGGGCTAGTCCTGCATACCTGCAATTAAGCATAAAAGAAATTTTTTATCCGAACCTTTGTTTCTTTTACAATTAGAACTTTATTTGGATCAATCTTGGATAATCGAGCTTTAACTAAGTTTGTCGAGATGGTTTCCTTAAATGAGTTAAAAAAATTATTAAAGTTCGTCTTGAATCTGAATAATTCGAATATTTTACATATAAATAAGTCGAATTTTGTGAGTTCAAGTCGAACCTTTTAAAACTTGTTTGAAAAAATGAGATTAAATAATTATTTGAACTACGAGTCGAATTCGAGCTGAATCCAAATAATTCGCACGCTTATTTGCTCCTATCAATACTTGCTATGATATATATATATATATAAAGGAATCGTCAATTTTCTAAACTATTTTTAGCTAAAATACATTAATTTTTATGATAAATTGATTTATTGTTGGTATGAATAAATGAACAACAAGAAGACTCAAAACTATATGAATCTCGAGATCGTGATGTTTGGGTTTAGAATATAATTTGAAAATATGCTTGATTGCTTAATGATTTCATTTACAATTTGTTAATAATTATAAGCTATAGCTAACCATGAGCCTGAGGTCTATTCCGACGAAGTTATCTCACCGTTCGTCCGGGCTATCAGGGAGGCCGAGATGCCAAAAAAGTTTATCGTTTTACGGTTCAAAGTTTATGATGCGAAAATCAATCCCGATAGCCACCTTCGACAATACAGATAATTGATGTCAATCTATGATACTGACCAAAGGGTGTTGTGCCGAGTTTTTCCCATGAGCCTAGGGGACATAGGCATGAGGTGGTATGAAAACCTTACTTTTGAGAGCGTTAGGTCCCGGAAACAATTGATGGAGCTCTTCATAGCTCGATTCATCACCAGCAGTAAGAAATCGAAGGACATTGGCACTCTGTTGACGCTTAGGCGGAGAGGGGGAGAGACACTCTGACAATATGTCGTCTGGTATTGGGATGAAGTGAACGAGGTGAAGACATGTTCGGAGGCATTGGCTGTGACGTTGTGAGGGATCTACCTCCCCATTACCGGGGATATACTTCCCTCCAAGAGCAATCCTCCCCATTACCGGGGATATCCCGCTCTCCATCAAAGGATTTCGGCTGACCTGCGGGGCAAACCCCCACAGTAGCCTTTACCTCTGTCCCACATCGGGGAAAGAGTCGTCTCCCCACCCCCATATAAGCCGAAGCACCATATGAGAGCAGTACCCAAGTAACACACTGTGGTACTTGGGCACTACTCTCATATGGTGCTTCGGCTGTGGTACTTGGGTACTACTCTCATATGGTGCTTCGGCTTATATGGGGGTGGGGAGACGACTCTTTCCCCGATGTGGGACAGAGGTAAAGGCTACTGTGGGGGTTTGCCCCGCAGGTCAGCCGAAATCCTTTGATGGAGAGCGGGATATTCCCGGTAATGGGGAGGATTGCTCTTGGAGGGAGGTATATCCCCGGTAATGGGGAGGTAGATCCCTCACATGGTGCTTCGGCTTATATGGGGGTGGAGAGACGACTCTTTCCCCGATGTGGGACAGAGGTAAAGGCTACTGTGGGGGTTTGCCCCGCAGGTCAGCCGAAATCTTTTGATGGAGAGCGGGATATCCCCGGTAATGGGGAGGTAGATCCCTCACAGACGTCATTTAGGATGGGGCTATCCCGGGACACTGATTTGTACAAATCGCTGACTAAGAAGGCTCCGACAGACATGAAAGACTTGATGACTCGGATTAACAAATATGCCTGAGTGGAGGAAGAATTCGCCGCTCCCGAAAGCAGGGTCATGGTGCCGAGAAAAAGGAAAAGGGAGCAGTTGGCCCGAAGGGGATGACCTATTCCACCCCCAACTCGCCTATCCTTCCAGGGAGTGAATACGGTCTTCAATGAGCCCATTCACAAGATACTTCTCAAAATCAAAAACAAATCTTACTTCAAGTGGCCCTCGAGGATGTTTGGAGACCCATCGACAAGGAATGTGGTCTTCCGTTGTTCGTATCATAAAGATATCGGTCATTTGACGGAGGATTGCAAGGTTTATAAATCATTCCTCGAACAATTAGTGCAAGACGGACACCTCAAGAAATTCATCGACAGGGGTCGTCCCGGCGGATCGACGAAGGAGCGAGCCGAGGTGCCAACTAAGGTAGCACTCGTGATTGATGTTATTCATGCCTGCATAGTGGAGAGGCCTACATACAACTCCCTCCGCGCCGAGTTACAGAGGGTCTTTCAAGTAGTCAGGGTGGACGAAAGGGGTGATGAACGGCCTCCCAAGAAGCCGCGGAGCGGTGCCGAGGTTATCTAATTTTCTGATGCTGATCTCGGCAGGGTAGTCCTCCCCCACGAGGATGCATTGATGATCACTTTGCGGGTCGAGAAGTTCGATGTCAAGAGGATCTTGGTGGACTCGGATAGTTCTTTCGAGGTAATGTACGATTACTTCTTCCGCAAGATGAGACTCTCTCAGGGGAATTTGGAACCCGTAAAATCCCCCCTCGTCGGCTTCAATGGTTCCAGCGCCCTGCCCCTTGGAAAAATCACCCTTATGGTACGGGGCGGGGGGTGGTGACCACGCCAGTAGAATTTATGGTAGTGGACTCTGACTCCCCTTACAACGCTATTATGGGGAGATCGTGGTTGCATGCAATAAAGATGGTCCACTCATTCTATCACCAGAAGATAAAGTTCGCAACACCGCAGGGCATAATAAAAATCCTAGGTGATCAGGTGTCGGCAAAAAGCTGTTTCTATGCCGCGGTGAAAACGAGAGTTAGCGGCCGGAGTCAGGAGCGTGATCCCGATGCGGTGGTTGCCAAATAGCAATCACAGAGCGGTCGTCCGGGAGTGGACGAGCCCATTACAGAGCTGACGGACCAGTCTACTAAGGCCTTGGTGAAGATTCTCCTGAGCATAGATAGCGGTGAGAAGTACTTTTTGATAGGAGAGTCACTCAGCGACGCAGAGATAAATGATATGGCCTCATTTTTACGCCACAATGCCGCTGTCTTTGAGTGGACCCAGGCTGAGATGACGGGGATAAGTGCCGAGGTGATGACTCATCGGTTCCAAGTGAATTCCTCATTCAAATCCGTTAGGCAAAAGGCCCGGAAAACGACGCCTCATCACACGAAGGTTGTGGATGAAGAGGTGGATAAGTTGTTGGGGGCAGGTTCCATCAAGGAGGTACAATTCCCCCAGTAGCTATCCAATACCGTGTGCGTCAAGAAGAAATAAGAGAAATGACAAGTTTGCATGAATTTTACGGACCTAAACAAGGCTTGCCCCCTTGCCCAAGGTTGATCAGCTTGTAGACGCTACAGCCGGCCACAAACATATCACCTTTATGGATGCTCGGGCTGGATATCACCAGATTTCCTTGCATGAATCAGATCAGGAGAAAATGAAGTTCATCACNCAAGGACGAGTACCCCTTGCCCAAGGTTGATCAGCTTGTAGACGCTACAGCCGGCCACAAACATATCACCTTTATGGATGCTCGGGCTGGATATCACCAGATTTCCTTGCATGAATCAGATCAGGAGAAAATGAAGTTCATCACGCTCCGAGGAATCTACTGTTACACGGTGATGCCTTTTAGGTTGAAGAATGCTGGGGCGACTTACCAATGTTTGATGAACAAAATTTTCAAAGATCAGCTCGGCGAAACGATGGAGGTGTGCATTAATGACATGTTGGTTAAAAGTAAAGAGGGGGCTGACCATCCCTATGATCTCGGGACGACATTCGCCATCCTCCGAAAGTATGGCCTAAAACTAAACCCCTCGAAATGCGCCTTTGGAGTGAGCTCAGAAATTTTTTTGGGGTATTTGGTTACTCATCGGGGAATCAAGGTGAATCCCAAGCAAATACAAGCAATCCAGAATGTCCGGGCGCCTAGGACCATTAAGGATGTTCAGAAATTGGCCAGGATGTTGGTAGCCCTTAACAGATTTATTTTCAAGTCGTCCGATAAGTACAAACCATTTTTTGCCAAGTTGAGGGGGGCAGCTAAGGGGGTTTGGGACGAGGAATGTGGTCGAGCTCTTGAAAGAATCAAGGAGTACTTGAAACATCCTCCGACTTTATCTGTTCTAGCGGCGGAGGAGGTGCTTAGCCTTTACTTGTCTGTATCTCAAGACGCCGTGAGTGGAGCATTGATCAGGGATAGCGAAGGGGCCCAAAGACCCGTGTATTTCATAAGCAAGACTTTGCTTGACGCTGAGACAAGGTACTCTCCAATGGAAAAATTGGTCTTGACATTGGTAATCTCGGCGATGAAACTTCAACACTACTTCCAGGCTCACGCCATAGATATAGACCGACCTCTCAAGCCAATCTTTCAACGAGCCGATATGTCTGAAAGGGTTGCCAAATGAGCTGTAGAGCTCGGAGAGTTTGAAATCAGGTACAAGCCTCGAACGTCAATAAAAGGACAAGTCCTGGCAAACTTTGTCGTCGAGTTCTCTGTGTCCGAGCCCCTACCAACGTCACAGGATCTAACAGGGGACGTTTGAAATCTTCATGTTGATGGATCCTCAAACACAAGGGAGGCAGGGATAGGTATTGTGCTAGTCAACTCAGAAGGGTTCATCATTGAAAGGGCAATCAGATTAAAATTCAAGGCGTCCAATAACGAAGCCGAGTATGAGGTGTTGCTAGTAGGACTGGATGCTGCATGCTTGATTGGGGTTAGACACCTTCGGATCTTTTGCGANATACATTAATTTTTATGATAAATTGATTTATTGTTGGTATGAATAAATGAACAACAAGAAGACTCAAAACTATATGAATCTCGAGATCGTGATGTTTGGGTTTAGAATATAATTTGAAAATATGCTTGATTGCTTAATGATTTCATTTACAATTTGTTAATAATTATAAGCTATAGCTAACCATGAGCCTGA